TGAGCTCTACAGTTGGGGCAAGTAGAAAATGATGCTGCTGCTGCTGCCCAGGCTGACAGATGAAATCATGTGCCTTGTGTTGCCATCTTGGTATGGAGAACATCACCCCACTTCCACAAAAGACAGCTGCTTCCTGGGGTGGCAACTGAGCTGGGCAACAGAAGACAGGATGAAGAGGAAGGCAGTCTAAAAATGCCTGCAATGGAACAGCTGGCACGTGGCAGCAAGGCAGGCATGACAGGGACTCAGGAACACCGGATATTGTGCTGCCAGATTCAAGCAACCATAAAAGTCACAACCGTGTTATCTTCACCAGTAACTAGTCACAGAGTTCACTGATTGGAATAGCACTTCCATTATTCTGGCAGGTGACTGAAGCACAACTACTCCATCCATAAATCACCATTCTTAACAGTATGCCCTGCCCTCCCTTTCTAAGTCCAGAAAATTTTAAGGAAGTAAATCTTACAGAATGTGCAGTTTTCTCTTCTACAACAGGCAGCATACAGGACATTGACAATATAGATAACACCATTTAGTGTGACTAAATAGTGACTTCATAACACAGCTACTGAACTGAGGTAGAAAGTGAGCTTATTCTACTCTAGGAAAATCAGATCTCCTAATAAGCTGGCATAATGTGCCACTGAGATGAGATTGTTTGGTTGGAGCATGGTACTAATAATGCCAAGGCTGTGGGTTCACTTCCCATATAGGCCATTCACTTAACAGCTGGTCTTGATGGATCCTTGTGAGTCCCTTTCAACTCAGAATATCTTGTGATAATCCCTTCTTGCTGGCAAGTTCTGGAAAAGTCGATGCTGACCACAATCCCTGGAGGACCAAGCATCACCACATGTCCCTTTGAGATTACCAAAGGCACACATTTCACTTGGCCAGAAAACATGAGTGCACATGGCAGAACTTAGAAAGTTCACTCAAACTACACCATTCTTCCAGCAGCTTTAGCAATCTTCACCCCTGGTTAACTGATGACAGTTGGTGTCTTGCAAAAATACATCAACAAAACCCTAGCAAACCAAAGGTTGTCTGCAGCAGAATGGCTAAGGTCTGCCCACTCACATTATCGAGCATTTGCTCGTACCTCACACCACTTCTCAAAGGTCAGATTTCATTCCAAAGGCTCACTGTCCATCAGGTGCACTGCAATTAACTCCATTACAGAGCCACCTTTCTACTCTGCTTATGGTTTGCACAGCATCTTCCCAGCTCAAACTCCACCTCCTAAGATCATCTACACAACAGCATCTTACCTGCAGCTCTCTGAAGCTGCACACCAAGCCAACAGCACATCTAAAGGCAGTGACCTCCTCCAGTGGTGTTACTTTCTGGAAAAGGAAAGAGTTCTTGGACAAGAACTATAAAATTCATCTCTCCATAAGAGATTTTTTTCAACATCATAGAAGTTCAACCACTGTAGGTAAGAGACGCTGAAAGCTTTTATATAAAGCCTTCCTACAACCATAAATACACAGCTTTGCCAGCACTGAGACTTGAGAAGTTGGATTCCTACATCACAGAACTTCTATAACATAGGAGCAGAAAAAGCCAAGCAGCTATTACGTATGTTTCTCTGACCAATTTAGTCTCATGACAGTAAAATTATGCAAGTGTCTGCAGGCATTTGAATCACACGCCTCAAAAAGTGCAGTTGCAAGCCACAAACCACTTATTCTCAAATTTCACGCTAACTAGATTTAAGAGTAACACCAGAGTGATATTTTTCAGTGGTCAGGCAAAGTTTATGAACTCACAAGTATCACCCAAGAAGATAATCATCAATGCAATAACATGTTCTTCAGTTATTTACACTCAGTATTTTACATATTCTTCAATGAAATTTATAAATTTGCAACTGTAATAACTATTTTCAAGGACAGCCTAATTAAGTCACTCCTTTTTAATTACGGATAAATTAAGTATTCAATGAGTTCAGAGTTCTTACATTTTTCCCTCGCTGTCTGTAAGAAAATACTCTACAGAGGAAGGGACAAAAATTATGTTCTCCTTTTGCACTTCTCTCTATTGTGAAATACACTCTCTGAAGTTGACCACTAGCACCGTTTACAAAGAGATTATATAGAAACATATTTATGAAGTACACAGTGTCTGACTACACAGACCAACAGAACTTCCTCAGTCCTTCCAAATCTTGAGTCTGAGCGATGACAACACCATTAAGTGACAACAGTTTCCAGGACACTCATATTCACATTGCCTGATAGAAGTTCCTTATCACCAGAAAGGGTCGCAGTCCATGCATCATTGTCTGACAGCTACAGTGGATTTTTCCATGTTCAGTTTCTTTCCTGTACTTGGTCCTTCTGTTTTCAAGTTTAACTCAAGGCTGAGTCCTTTCTTGGTCCATCAACTTGAATTTTAGAAGTTTCTTAAGATTAAACATTACAGTCTTTCTGACTGGAAGTAGACTTACTGGTGGTACAAGATGAAACCTCCTGAACCCTGAAACTACAGCAGAAAGAACAGGATAAAATCCAGTGTGCCCTGGATTCTACACCCCAAAGCTGACAAGCAACCACAACTACATAAATTTTTATTTCCAGTATTTTGAAATATCAAGTTAGCAATCTACACAGGTCTTTTTTATTCCTCATATAACTTCTCTCTCCCTGAATTCTTACAAAAAAGAAGAACTAAAGATGAAGGTGACAAAATAACTTCAGAGTCTGGAATTAAATGCTTTTCATGGCCTCTAACATGAACTCCTGAAATGCAACAGGCTGTTGTAAGAAAGCCAAGATAACTGAGGTTATCTTGGATTGTCCTACAGCCACACCCAGGAATGCAATGCATGCCAAAACTCCAGAGCTGGTCACAGACAGGGGCGCAGGAGGAATGGCAATGTGCACTGAGTCTGTTTCTCACCGCTGGAATAATGCATTTAGACGGGCTTGCTATAAATATCCAGTGCTGGAGATACAGGAGGAGATTGGAGCCATATGTGGGAGACACAAATACTAATTACACACTGAGCAAAGTTCCAGCAACACAAAATTAAGCAATAAGAGGAAATTCAGGAAATGGCCTACTTTAAGGCATACAGCCTGCAAGTTCTGCTCACAGAAACAGAGCAACCAAGAAATAACGCTGGGAAAGAAATTGGAAGTTTGGGCTACAGAAAAAATCCCCTGGTATATTATACACCAATGCATGCAATCCTGTTAGTGAATTTATATTTTCTACATAAAACAAGTAAAATTTGTGGAAAAAAACAGATTAACTAGTAAGGCAAAAATCCCAAAAGATGTGACTGACCACATAAACTAACTCCACAGAACATACCTAAAGTTCGGCCAAGCTTAAGATCATATTCACAGCTGAACATACATGTGATCTGCTCCAGTTTTTGCAGCTAGTCTTATTCCCTTTTTTTGTTGTTTGTTTGACGGGGAGGAGAGGGTGTATTCTCTATGCTAAGTGTCTTTTCTACTAAAAAGGATTTTTAAAATTTTGTTACTGCTACATTCCTCTTCTAGAAGCCACCCCGGACCTACAAAACAACGAATATATAAATAGAATTTTTTAAATTGTCTTACATTTCTCAAGAGTGAAGACATCTATAGCAAGCTTGTAAATTTTTTTCCTAAAGGGGTAGAAGAGTGTGGGTGGTGCAGAATAGGACTACTCGACATACTTATCTCCCTGATACTTGAAAGAAGGTTAGAAAGCATTCCTAAAATATTTGATAGTCTTGAGATTCGCAGTAGGAGACTGTATTTCCTGCTGGATAATAGTATTATGTTACACATAAAAAGGACTATGTCAGTAAAATTAAAACAGCTACATGTGCAGCTCTCATCAGAGTCTCCGTTGTATTTGAAGGGAGACTCCAGAAGAGACCAAGGGAATTTGCAACACACCAGCAAGAGGGATGACTGAACAACTCTGTAAAACCAACCTATCCCAGGCTGATGACCATCATGTGAAGTAAATCTATCCTCACATTGGTACAAAATCAGACCCTAGACCTCTGACTCTGATTCTCCTTTATATAATTATTTTGGGAATGGGAAAGAAAAGAAACAATGTGCCTTTTGTAGATATAGTTACCCAGAGATTATGGGAGCAGGTTGTGTGTGTCAGTATTACTGACTAAGCATTATGTCCCAGGTCCGAGAAGAAAAAAATTAAGGAAATAACAACTAAAACATGAATAAAAAGAACTTACCTCATCACTGGCACAGCTTTTGCTGAATGACATCTTATCTAGCTTTTATAGTGACTAATTATTGACTAGCATCACAGAAGAAATAGATTTTGAGTAAAAGTATGACTATTAATAGCATCAGCTTATTGAGTATGTTTAAAACCAAATCAAAGGCAAGACTCAAGTCTTCAAACTAGAGAAACATTTAAATGTATCTTCTAAATACACTGTAAGAACACACACTGTTTATTTACATTTACATTATATTGCATTTCAAAGGTTCAAACTTTCAACATATCAGTAACTAGTAACCTTTTCTGACTCTGTTAAAAAGTCTCTCTAATTGTTTGCATAGGGAGAATCTTTAACCACTTAAAATAATCTCGCTGAAGTCAAAGGTTTAGGTTGAGTTCCAAGAACATGAAAAGCACTTCTACACGATGCTCTCAGTTATATTAGGTTACACATTTTAAAAGGGAATAAACTTCCTGAGGATGCCCCACAGTTTATTTATAATCTTTCATAGAACCTCTCAAATTCTAAAGCTCACAAAATCTATAGACAAAAAGATGGGGTACTGAGTTTTTAAGAAATGATGGGGAAATTCACAAGCTTAGTTCAGGGAATAAATAGATTACACAACCAGTCAAAGAAAAGAGAACTGACAGAGTACATTGTTGTACCTAATTCAAACAAGCGTTAACAAATTCCTTCAATAATTTGAATCCAGTCCACCCAGGATTTGAAAACTACAAAACAGTCACTTTTACCTACAGAATTAAGTTGTTGGTTTCCATAGCACTTTACTTACCATTTGAAAAAAAAAAAAAAGTCTGTTGTTTTTAGGACTCCACAGATTACTACCCATACAGACTTGTTCAGTTACACTACAGACAAATCCAGATGATACAGTTCCCCGAAATTCAGAACATGAAAAGGTAAAGTTCTGCAAGAGAGAGAAGGTAAAGCAAGAATGTAGCTGTGACACAGGCTTCGCTGGACAGGCTGCCCTGAGACACTCCCTGCAAATTCTCTTCACCACCCACGCCCCCACACAACAGGCATCCAGATATGACATGCAACAGGAAGGGCCTGGACAGCCTTCATCGTGGGTCAGCCACACTGAAACACTTTGGGAAACCTAAACCCTCTGCACATGGCCTCAAAGGCTACAGCTGGGGTACCCACTGGGCTCTGCAAACACAGCAGCGTACACGAATCAAAGGCACCTTCAGCTGCTTTGTTTTGCACATGTTCTGGTAGGGCCTGCATCAGTTCTGAGACTCCAAAGCAAACATTTTAACAAACTACTACAGTCCTAATACCTTAGGACAGCTCAATCAGAAGCAATAGCTATATCCTGCTAGAGAAGCTAGCACAGCTTACTGTGACTGTCACTTACTACAATCCACCAGAGCAGCAACTGACACATCCACGTAAAATTAAAAATATAATCTACTGAACCCCTTTTTTTATCCCTGCAGTTTATCCCATGAAGTCCATCCTTCTGTGACAGAGAACGAAAACCAGTGAGTTTTAGGAGGTAACAACAGTCCTCCACTTGTGTACCACAACTTCAGTGAAACCTTCAGCAACACCCTGCCTTTTCTGCGAAGCCTGAGCAATTGCATCAGTGGGACAGGCCACTGGAGATGCCTCATTTCCTCCCCATCTTCAAGGTTACGCAAGGTTTTGCCAGCTCCAGCTGTGCTCACCAGTAACATATGAAAGCTTGTAAAAAACAACTGAGAAGGAGCAGGGTAAGGTCCAGAGTGAAACATTTGGGTATGTACAGCTTGTAGTGTGTTTAGTCCTATAAACCCAATTTAGTGTTATTCGTGAATCCTGCTTTCACTCATTCAAGTCTTTCTTTATGACTGACAAACTACTTTATTCTTCAGCACACATCTATAAAAATAACTGTGCAGACAAGATCCCAAGGTGTGCTAATAAGACAGTTACAAGCCTAGACAGCAGGAAGGTTCAGCCTATTCCAAAGAAGCTTAATACTTAATGGAAGCATAGAGGCCTACAATTACACAGCTAAGTCCCAATATATGTTTTTTATAAGATTAGAGCTGGAAAAGTTCACCTGTCCTGAGAAGGAAAGAAGCCAAAAGGCAGAAGAGAGATAGAGGCAGCCAGGAACACATTCCCTTCAGTTTTCTCCCTTCAGTCGTGAATTACAGAAGTCACTGGTGGCTTTTACCCCTCTTGAACTCCTACAATATATTCAGTCAACATAGTTTACCTCGTTAGTAAAGGCTAGAGCAAATTTCCAGGATAAGTTTCTCTGGAAAGGGGGTCTACAAATACTTAGAAATACTTTTCTTTTTTTTTTTTTAATGTCAGAAAATATACACACACACCCCCTCCCCCCGCCCCCATTAGGTTATACATACCACGGTTGTTTGGTAGTGGTATATGTTAGCTTCTACTAACATTTTTGTCGATTTTTCTTAAGCAAACTTACTTACTTCTATCATGCCAAGTACAAAGTAATGCATGTACACTGAACTAAAAGTAAAGCATCACTCTTATTTAGAAAGTAGAAGGGAACTTGATTAACCTGAAAAGATGCAGTTTTAATGTCAATCTGAAAACTGGGAAAATTTACTGCAAAATTTACATAGATGGCAATTGGGGTGGCCAAGGGCAGGGAGGGAGAGAATTCTTTTATTTAAGAATCCGAAATTCTTGCAGTTATAGAATTTTAGTTGACTTTTAGGCAACACTGCCTGACCACTTCCCAAAACTTGCGGCAGCAGAGATGGCAACTTCAAGATGACATATTTATAGCACACAGAACCCACATACAGCCACTAATTCTATAATTAAACACAAAAACAAGATGCTATTATGAACATAATGTCTCTGGCGATGTACCACATTCAGATGGACACTGAAATATCTTTTAGATAATTGAACTCGATATAATCTGGAGTTGGTATTTCCTGGCCAATGATGACTAACTCTCGTGGACCATCATTAAGTATCAGGAAATACCCACCCCCGACATCAATCACTATCTAAACATACACCAAAGTATTATGTTTTGAACATCTTCACTCAGATAAATATCCTATAGGCAAAAGTGAGGGAAAGAAAAATCCTTTCCATCAGTCTTCAAGTAACCAAAATACAAAAATCAAGTCTTAACATTAATAACAAAATGTGAGCTAGGGCCAGACTTCCAGCTCACTTGCACAGTTTCACAAGGTAACACTGGGCTCTTCCACAGTTACCTCCTTCCCTTCATTCATGTATGAAAATGCTACCAGCATTAAACTGGTGCAAACCACTGCTGTGGGATGGTGGGTTAGAGAAGAGCTTGGGCTGGTACTGTGTGTACTTTGTACAGTGAGCACGCTGGTCTTGCACAGCTCTGCTGTGCCCTTCCCTCTCAGCTTCCCAGGTGCACTGTCCTGCTACCCTGACCAATTCCAGTCCTCAACAACCCACACACAGAAAAGAAACAGAGCAAGGAGCCTCTGTGCAAACTCCAGCCTAAAGGAGAAGCCATGCCTTTTCATCTCCATTTTCTGTTCCATTAAAAACAGCAGAGGAAAGAAAGCACTTCTTAGCTAAAAACAAACAAAGAAAAAGAACCCATGGTAAATGAAAAGACAACATCACATTTATATTCAGGAAGGCTCAGGAGTGGACAATTGTCCTCTTCATTTCTGTAGAAACCAAAATTAAAGGCTCTCAGTAGGAAAGTCACAGCTCTAATCCCCTCTTCCCCATCTCCCTGAAGGTACTAATAGAAAGTTTTCATCACAGCAGTCAACACATCACTATGCTGTGAATATTAAATCTAACCCAAAGAGACTGCCATGATTTCCTCTCCTATCCTTTTTCCATCTTTTTTTCCATTTAAAGGCAAAAGATTTGCTTTACAACTGCCATGAGTGCAGCAAAACTATTTCTAATTTACTTAGAATTATAAAATAATCCTTGATGAAATCGCTAGTTCATATTAATTATGCTACTATTCTTCTATTAGAATTCTACATACTTAGCTTAAGTTGGCATTTGGTTCTCTGCAAGTCAAACACTTCCTAATCAAATCCTAATATCCTATCAAATATCAATACTTAAAATTTCTACCTTGAAGCAAATCTACAGCTTGTGTATCAAGAATGATTTTGTTTCAACAGTCATTCTGGTGAGTAGAGTCTACTGCCTGAATAAAGCAGCTTTCTTTTTTATTATTTGAACATGAGAAATCAAACCTCTTATGAAAATTGATATTCATTCCTAACCCTCCTCCCAGAAGAGCTAACCACTTATCAAACCACTACAGTAGATCTTCTGGCAGCTCTTTGAGCTGTAATCAGAGATCAGACTTACATTCAGATCTTTGGGGGAAAAAACCACCACCACCACAACACAGAGCACACACACACAGAGTCCCCTTCATAATTTAATTTTAGTTTACAAAGTGGGCTCCTTTGCAGTCATCTGAAAACACATTATGTGTCAGCAGTAAAATGGAATTCAGCTTTTTTGAGAACACTTTAAGGGTAGATGTTTTGGACCAATATCCCCATAAGCAGAGTGCTACACCTAGGAAAGCACATTAAACTGCTGCTTCAGAATTCAGTTTGCAGGCCAGTGAACAAGTAAGCCCCATCAGCGTCAGCTGGCACCATACCTCTGGCACTCCTTGTGTCAAGTAGTTCTTGAGATGTTACATCCATGCCACTGAAATTAAACAAGTCACATTTTTTTCAAACTGAGAAGTTTACATAATGAGAAGCAATAGCACAAGTAACCCAGAAGCAGCACTCACTTAACACCAACTCACTGCACTGTTAAGGACAGAAATTAGCTCCTACACAGAAAATAGTTCACAAGAAAACTGGTTTAAAAATAATAACAATAATTTAAAAATCCCTATCAACCCAGTGCTCTAATTCTACTATATAAAGGTGTCTAAAGTCAGTCTATATAGATGCGAAGGATGTAAATTAAGAGTCATGATTTGGGGAAAAAATAAACAGAAAAACAAACCCAAACACTACCAAAAAACTCCCTCAGCATTTATCTTGCTATTTAAAACAGCTGTGTCACATGGAGTAAAACTGTATCTACAAAGCAAGGGCAGAGTCTTAAACTAATCAGTACAAAGGTCTTCAAGAAATTAAGTTTTCATAAATTATAGCTTTGCACACAGTTCAGTTTACAATGTGGACTTTGTAAAGATTTGAGGCTTTCCTAGTGACGTGCTTCTGAGTACACAACAATATGAGGAAGTGCTGTAGTTAATACCCCTCTTCTCTGCAGACAGTCACATATCAAAGGTGCATCATTGTTTAAAATGGCTCCAGTTCCAAAGGGTGAAGATCTACTCCCTGTCCTGTCTTGACCTTAAGGGAGGGACACACTGTCCACCAAAACATCCTGTCAGGAAAGCAGTAAGAAGCGTGCAAATTTGGAGATTAGGACAATAAATACACTTCTGCTGGTTACTTATTTTGGCTTTCAAAATAATTGTTGTTGAAGAACACAGAGGCTTTTCTAACCAAGCCTTGACAACGCCAGAAATCCTGGTGAACATGTTCACTTGGCAGCTGCAGGGAACCAGGAACAATGTATTTGTAAAGCTCTCCATGTGGTGGTCTTGTGTGAAGGTTTTCCTTGTTACATCCATTCTCTTTTGAAGTTATGTGTTTCCTGAAACTGGTTCAGCAGAACAAAACTGCTAATAATTATTTGCTATTTCTTCCAATATAGATATTTGGAATTTATGTGAACATAATTCAAGTCTGTTCACTAAGTAAAGTGTATGCACCTATTTAAGGAAAAAAATGGGATATTTACTGCTTTGGGGTTTTTTACTGTGTTTTTTTTTTTAAGACTGCACTCCTAAACTTCTGAGGAGATGCCCATGACATAAGGAACAAGGTCAACAAGTTATTTTTATCAGGTTCATTTTCAATATTTCTTAAGACTGGCACCAAGTCTTTACAGAACAAACTGTTTAGGTCAATAATAAACTGCAGGGCTCCTAAATAAACTGGTAATATTGCACCTATTTCTTCCATAAGTAAAATTACTGGTTTTTACTGGTCAACAGGTCTTATTTTCTCAAGCACAAAATTAACAGAAAGACTGGCCCAAATTACTCAAATGACTACTTTAAATGTGGTATTACTGCGTTTTTATTATCAGGCCTTTATATTTAGCTACCATTCCTCCCAAGATGAACAGTGATCTCCGCATTTTTCTTGAAGTTTATGCAAGTGGAAATCATTGAACAAATAAGCAACATTATTTTGACGTTTTTATAAGTAAAATGTCTACTGAAAACTACACAAAAGCTTAATTCAGGTTAGTGTTACAAACCCAAACAATGTTTACTGGAGTGAAAGAGTTGGACAAGGCTGCTCTCATATTTAGTTCAATCACTAAGTGTCAGGAATTAGTTTGTATCTCTAGATACTTGCACTTGAAACTGAGATATGGAGGAAAATAAGCCTGGAGGATGAGATCTCAAACACTTAGTATTTTTTCCAGCTCAAGCTTTTCATACCTTAGATAAAAAGCATCACCTCATTTCAACATCAGGTTAAGGTTAACAGCTAAGAATTTTTGAGAGAGAGAATGTAATTTTATCAAATAGCAAAGAGAATTGTGCAAGCAACACAGCAAAACAGAAAGCCAAGTCAAAGAATCAAATCTGAGCTTTCATCCATTCAAACCTAATTCAAACAGTGAAGCTCACTTTCACACTGTACTTTTTAACACAATGACAAAGCAAATCATACAATCCAGACTGAATAAACCAGATGTTACAATTTACAGGCTCTAGACTCATTCCTTCCAATTTATAAACACCATTTTCTACAAAATAAAGTAAGATTGAGATCTCAATTTTTCAGAAACTAGAAGTATTGCTAAATCACAGATGCCATTTTAGATAATAAAGAGATATATTAGTACATGGAAAAGATCCATAAACGTATTTTTTTAGAAAGCATCACTACATTATGAGCTGCTACTCGGGCTTTGTACAAACTTACATGAAAAAATATCCCTCCTTCAAAGAGTTGTTACAGATTTGTTTGGTTTTTCAGTCTTTTTCCTATTCAGCTTCAATTGCACTGAGCAACCTTTAGGTGAAAAGTTAGTTTGTGAGGTCAGACTGAGCAAAGTCTATCCAAAGATTTTCATTAAGTCCTGGATTGCTTACCTGCCTGTAATGCTGTGGTTCTCATATTACATTGTGTCATAATTACCTCTATTTAAAATGAGAAAACAACTCTGTTTAAACACCTACTGTCACTTCAAGATCTTCAACAAACTACACTGCAGTCATGCTACTGTACACATCAGGGACATGACTACCATCTCTTTAAAAAAGCAAATCAACTCCATTTAATTCCGGCTTGGATCTAGACATCTGGAATCAAGTATATACATGAGGAAGAACCACACAGCTGCAACTGTATAAATATTTTTCTTACCAATTCCCTGCCAAGAGTATCTCAAAATTATAAGATCAATTTCACAGACAAGAAACAAAACTAAGGTCACACAGGCAGAAAGGCTTTTAGAATTTGGGTAATCATATTTGGCATGAGAGGTAATCCAGGGCCAACACACAGTCTCATCTTGGATCACATTTTCCAGATTTTGTTTCCTGTGAACTTCTGGGGCGGAGCTGGTGTCTCCTTAAACTGGCATAATGATTATCACTGATTTTATCATAAGAATTTCTGGCATCCACTTCAAATAACAATCCAGCAGACAACACACATTCCAGCTTGCGTTATTAGGATTAAAACAGGAACCCCTTTCTACTAACATATTCCTTACAAGGGTTATCTAAGCAATTACCAAACTGATTGCAGCTGATTACAGTATGATGATGCATAGACACTTAGGTATATTTGTTAGCTGAAAATACTGCAGCAAATATAAGTCTTCAGAGGTTTGATTTATAAAAAAGATTGAGAATGCCATTTTGATATAACACAGTACCTTGGAACCCATAAAGCATCTGGGACAGTATTTCTAGATTCAGAACACTAGGAGAGATTGAGTTTTTTTGCTCACCTCCAGCCAAACAGACTGCATTCTCATACAAACTGGTAATACCTGTGCAACTTCATTATTGAAATTAATATATATGGTCATCTATCACTGATGGACTAAAAATCCATTCTTTCCTCTGACACATCTGCTAAGCCAACAGAAGTAAAGAGTTAACCACAGAAGCCTGCAAAAGTGTTGTGTCTATAGATGAACATCTACATCAAGTATCAGTGGCACCAATTCTTTGGCACTTATATTTTGCATAATCACATTAATCAAAGTTTGGGGCTTGGTTTGGTTTTGTACTGTGGCTAAACAACATTCACAAGTATCACCATTCCAGAGACTGGCCATATTTTAGGAACTTTTGATGGCTTTTCAACTCATACACAACCATTCATAAAGGAACAAAGCTATGGAAGGATGCCACAGTATCAGACCACAATAAAGACACACTGCAGCAGACCAGCTCAAACCTTAGATAACTGTAGTCATATTAGACTTTCCCTTTATTAGGTTCATGAAAACCTTTCAGAATTCACACACTCCTACTTATTGTGCAAGTTTGGCCATCACAATCACCTTCATCAAGTCCTTCTCGTGGATTCCAATTTCTTGTACGAAATGCTTTATGAGGCATGACACAAGATGCTTAACATACACACCAACACTTCTATTAAAGCTATTCTGGTGACCTGTTAACACAGACAACTCAAGAGTCTGCTCCAAATCTTCATCCTCAAAGGTTTTATCTCTTCACAACCAATTTCTTTGCAACTGTTAACTACAGCTAATGGATTTCAAAAGATGAGAACTGGGAACACAATCTTGAAAGAGAGGTGCTTCAGCAAACAGTAATGTAAGTGACAATATGAATTTTGAATACTTAAGGACAGCTGGACAAGATGTTGCGCTTTCACGAAGAAATATCTTACAAATCACATGCAACTTTTGGCAGCAGGGATGACTGTACAGACTGTGGGTTCAGCAACACAGGGCTAGACAGCAGGAATCCTGCAAATTTTCAAGGGTCAAACCATTAAATAAGCTGTGATCAAAACCACTTTCACATTCCTTGCCTCACAGAACTCTGATACCAAGTAACATTTAAATAATTGTCCAGAGCTGTGAAAATCACCTCGTCAACACTTCAACTATCCTTAAAAATAAAACTTTTGGTTTTGTTATCACAGTCTTCTCCAGGACTTTGACAGTTCTCTCCAAACTGTTTTTGCATATTTTGGTCTAATCACCACACATAAATGGCAGTATGCTACTCAAGGCAGGGTACCAGCAATCTGCTGGCAACGGGTGAGCAGTGAAGTACAGGGATGATGATGCTGGAATGCAGACACCCTTCCAGCAGATTTGCTGAACCTTTTTAAACCTAAGATTCCTGTCAGCCCATGTCTTTAGCCTGTCAAGGTCCCTCTGAACGGCAGCATAGGCATCTGTTGTGTCATCCACTCCTTCCAGCTTTGCATCATCTGTGAACTTGCTGAGGGTTCATAGCATCCCGTCTCTCAGGTATTAAAGAAAATAAACAGCCCAGACACTACTAGCAACCCCTAGGGCACACCACTAATTGGCCTAAAGCTGGCCTTTGTGTCACCACTCACACCCCTTGGAGCCCAGCATTTCAGCCAATTTGCAATCCCTTTCCCTCTCTACTTAGCTAGACCACATGGCGAGGGTGTTAAGGGAGACAATGACAAAAGCACTGTTAAAGTCAAACAGTACAAACTTCTCTTTTCTCCTCCATCAACCCAGCCATTTTGTCACAGAAGGCTGCCACTTGGTCAAACATGATTTCCTCTTCCTAAAGCTACAATGACTATTGCTAATCATCTTTGTGTCTTTCTTATGTTTGGAAATGGCTTCATAGGAGAATTTGTTCTAACATCTTCCCAGAGGTCTAGGTGTGCCTGAGCAGTCTGCAAATACCCAGATCCTCCTGCCCTTCTTGGAGGCAAAAGCAACACTTGTGTTCTTCCAGCCCTCCAGAAGAGTATTCTCTCAATCTTTCACAAACAATTCAGAGTGGTTTTGCTACGATATCAGCTCTGACCACTCGTAGGTGCAGTCTATCAGTTCCCATGGACTTTCTTACAGCGAACTTTTAAAAAAAGTTACCTTACCTTGTCCTTCTCTACTGAGGCTAAATCTTCATTGCTCCAGGCTTTCCCACTAGTCTCTAAGGTCTGGAACTCCAGACAACAAATCCTACCAAAAAAGACCAAGGTAAAAAAGACATCTAATATCTCAGCTTTTCCCATGTTTTCCTTCGTCTCCCTCTGGCAGGTGATGTACTTGCAGATGTCTTTCCTGCTGCCCTTCATGTCCCTAAACCTACCTGAAAACTGAGGTCCAAAGCCAATGCCAGTCACACCTCTTCTACATTCCATTCCTCATGCACAAACAAGGAGGTGCAGTGAAGTTCAGATTCAACAAACAGTAAAGTAAGGCAGAAGGCACTTCTTGAAAAACTTCATACCGGGCCTCTTGTAACTTAACCATTGTAACACAGTACACACAAAACAAGGCAACCATAACCAACTCCAAATTGCCTCTCTACTCTGTTTAACCTTACGGCACAAGTATCATGCTAATGATGGCTAAGCTTGCTCCTGCAGTCAAAAATAGAGCCTGGCTGACAGAAGTGATATGCACTGGAATGAGCATGATTAAGCAGCAACACAGCTGTCTTCCCACCAGTAGCACAACCTCTGTGTTTATAACTGTGATGAAAGTGAATTGTTACTGTCAGGAAATCTAAATGATGCATCCCGGTGGTTATGTATTCTGTGTTTTACATTTACAGCTCTTTCATCTTATGTATTAACTCATACCTTACGGCCTGCCCTGCATTTCTAGGGCAAGACAACGTCACACACATGTCAAGAGGTGAAATGTTATAACCAACAATTTAAACAACTCACTACTTCTGGATAGTATACATTGAAGAGCTCTGACTGTATATGGTAAATGACTGAGCTTCCAACAAGCACATACCAAAGCCAGCTTTATACCACAGGATAGTGGATGCTGCACTCACATGCAAAATAAAAGCAGTTCTGAGAATTGGAACCGTACTTTAGGGCAATCAGCTGGTTTAAACAGAGTGTCCAAAACAAACAGCAGCAATAAAAGTTGTAGGGAAGCTGACTAGCTGATATTAACAGCCTGTCAAGACAAAAATGATATCTTTGCACTTACAAAAAGCAATGTATTCCAAACTTCAGTGTGTATTAAAATAATACCAAACCTAACTAAGGCTAGGTTAGCAACTAAGAGGGATAAACACAATCCAATTTTGTAGAAGTCCAGATATGCTTCAGAATATCCAGCTACAGACATTCCAGCCACTCTATCAGTGTGTGATGAGGCAACTCTTAAAAGTACAAGGAGTCTGAACATTTGTAGAAACATCAACAAAGAAAAGCTGAGGAAACCAACAGTATGTCCTTAATCAGTTCCCTCTAAATCAGTGGCTCCCTAACTGATTTAACAGGTTTTTTAAAAAGCCTTTGAACAAAACTTTAATTAAATCTATTCCAAAACAAGCACCCATTTTGTTTCAGTGCTCTAGGTAAAACTCCAGTGCATTTACAAGTATAATCAGTTCAGTGCAGCTCTCCCTCTTTCCTCTATAAATACAGCTATTTATGTTTGACCCCAACCCACACTAAAACTCAAACACCCAGCATGCAGCTCTTTCATCTACTTCTTTCTCACAGCCTGATCAACAGTAGAATGGCAGCTGAAGAAAGGTTGGGTGTGATACCTTCAGAAAACAGTCAGAAAGGGTTTTTTTGTCTGTGAGACTGAATACAAAGACCTGCCTGAGCAAGTGCTTCTGCTACTGGAAATGCATCATACCTGCACAAAAAAATACCATTTTCATAGAATCATAGAATAGCTTGGGTTGGAAGAGAGCTTTTAAAGTTCATTTAGTCCAACGACCCCCTGCAATGAGCAGAGATATCTTCAACTAGACCACGTTGTTCGATGCCCCACTCAACCTGACCTTGAACACTTCCAGGGATGGGGCATTTACCACCTCTCCGGGCAACCTGTTACAGTGTTTCACCCCCTCACTGTAAAACATTTCTTCCATATGTCTAATCTAAATAGAATCCTTCAGCTTAAGTCATTACCCCTTGTACTGTCCCTGTGAGTAGTGAAGCCTGCAGTAAGGTCTACCCGGAGGTTTCTCCTGGCTGAACGATCCCAATTCTTTCAGCCTTTCCTTACAGGAGGGGTGCTCCAGCCCCTAATCATCTTCACGGCCCTCCTCTGGATAAGAAGAGCAGGATAAGAAGTCTGTGTCCTTCCTGTGCTGGGGACCCCAGAGCTGGATGCAGCACTGTGGGTGGGGTCTCTGCAGAGCAGAGGGTGTCACCAGCAAATTAGCTGAGGGTGCACCTGATCCCATTAACTGTGTCATTAATGAAGACATTCAATAGCACAGACACCTGAGGGGACCATTTGTCACCAACGTCCTTTGGGACACTGAGCTGTTGGTTGCTTCCAGAGAGTAGTGGCCAATGGCTCAGTGTCCCCGTGGACATCAGTGAGAGTGGGTTTAACCCATCAGATTTAAAGCTCAATGGAACAGGTACCAAAACAAATGAAAACAAAAGAAGAAAACCAAGATACTATGAAAATTAGTGCTATTCATTTAAATTTTACTCATTTTCCAGTTACTACATCCATTCAAAAAGCAAAATTCTATCTCTTCTCAACACATTAATTGAAAATACAGGCATTACATGAGACTTATAACATCTCAAGCATCCCTAAAGGCCAGGACACTCAAAGCCATGTCTGTATCACACAATTCTGACCAAGCATTTGAAAGCCTATCTTGAAACAGTACAATGGGTCACACTACTTAGCATTTGACACATCTAAAGGGCATCTGAGCATGGAAAGCAGAGACTGCTTGCATCTCTACAACTTATTTCTGCACACACCAAGGAAAAACTGTGATCAACTGACAAGCAGCAATTTTATTAAAAGACTTTAATTATTTTTGTCCAGATACTGATGGCACTCACTAATTAGCAGATACATAGGTCTGTTAGAGTCACAGTATTTAGGCTTTTAGCAAAACATGCAGAAAAAAGCAGAAAAAAGCTTCAGCAAGCAAAAATTTCTCAAGGAATGTGCTTATGGACATTCAGTTTTCAGAAATACTGATATAACTAGGACTATGCTACTAAATAGTACAGTTAAAGTCCCCACCAGGTCACCTGTCTGCACTAAACTGCACTTAAGCATACTGTGACATCTGCACATATCTGCTGAGAAAACAACCAGCACTTAACTTTCATAAAGGAAAAACCAAAATAAAAGGCCTTCAGATGCTGAATAATGGAATTTTCTGCTAGCTTTCCCGAAGTTGGTTTCATAAAGGTTTCAGAATTTGAAATTTCAAGATCATTATAAGCAGCACAGGAAAACTTAAAACAATCCTCCCAAAATACTAGCTTAGAAATGAAACAAAGAAACTGTGACCCAAATACACATATTTTACATTATGCTGGTTACCACTGAACGAGAAAAACTGGTTTGCCCACATGGACAAAAGTACAGTATTACTCACCCAACTAATGTTTCCCTCATTCAACTTTAGTAAAATGAACATGCTCTTCAGTTATTCTTGAGGAAAACTCTGTGATTGCACAAAGTGATCCTACAGTTTCATTATGAATATGCAAAGGGCAGAAAATGGCAACAGTGGTCAGGCAGCATATACTGAGACAATGTAGGAGCTAAAAAAGCCATAATGCCAGCATATCATTAAGGATTAGTACTTAATACAGATGAAAAGTTTGTGGGATAGCTGAATATTTGAAAACTTTTGGCCCCACCAAAACTTTTGGGAACAAGAGCTGTCAAGATGCAACACTGCACCCCAGTTAAACAGAACCCCACCTTCTTAAGCATCTCTGAACTCCTATTGCAATCTCCAAGACAAGATATTTATTTAGATTCTTCCCTGTCAATTTTTAAAGTATTTGCTATCACTTGAAAAGCTTTGGCTGGAAACAACCAGATGTCTTCTACTATCAAATTGCTAGCTGTTCTGTTTTTTCCAGAAATTTCATATAATAGTTATAATTTTGTGGTGGGTTGACCTTGGCTCAACACCATGTGTCCACCAAAGACATTCCCATCACTTCCACTCCTCAACTGGACAGGGCAGAGAAAATACAATGAAAGGCTCTTGGGTCAAGCTAAGGACAGGGTCATCAGTCACCAACTACTGTCACAGAAAAAACAATCTTGACCCGCAAGTTGAATTTGTTTATAATTTAATTTATAACCAATCAAATCAGAGTAGGACAGTGAGAAACAACTTTCTCCCTTCTTCAGCAGGGGGAATCTCCCATGGGAGATTATCCTCCATTAACTTCTCCAACATGAGTCCTTCCCATGGGCTCAATTCATGAAGCCACTGCTCCAGCATGGGTCTCATCCACAGGGTACAGTCCTTTAGGAACACACTGCTCCAGCAGGGGTCCCCTGTGGGGTCACATGTCCTGGCAGAAGACATGCTTCAGCCCAGGCTTCTCTCCATGCTCCACAGGTCCTGCCAGGAGCATCCTCCAGCACAGGCTTCCCATAGGGTCCCAGACTCCTTTGGACACCCACTTTTGGCTTGGGGGTCTCCAAGTGTTCCAAGTGGGTGTCTGCTTCACCTTGGACCTCCACAGACCACAGGGGCACAGCCTGGCTCAGCACAGTCTTCACCCACGGGCTGCCAGGGAATCTCTGCTCCAGCACCTGGGGCCTCTCCTGCCCCTCCTGCACTGACCCCGGTGACTGCAGAGCTGCTTTTCTCCCATGCTCACTCCTGTCTATCTGCAATTGTTCCCACACTAACACACTTTCCCCTTCTTAAATCTGTTATCCCACCACTGCACGGGTTCAGCCTTGGCCAGCAGCACCTCCACCCCGGAGCCATCTGGCACCAGCTATGCCAGACATGAGGGGAGATTCTCACAAGCCACACCTGAGTCCTTCCTGCTACCAAAACCTTTCCATGCAAGCCTAATGTATTATCGCATAAAACTTGAAGAAGACCTAAAAAGGAAAATTAATATTAGTATTTATGCTTCATTTTTAGATATCCTTGGCTATGAAGAGTCAGCTTCAGCCTCCTCTCTTCTCATCTCAGTAACATAATTCTTCAACCTTAAATTTCAACAGTGAAATGTTTTTAGAGTTAAGTATTACTAGTTTTATAAAAAATACTATAAAAATATTAGTCCTAAACTACTTCATTATCCACTTAAAGACGAGTGCTACTTTTTATAGACTTTTTATTTCGATAAATTAAATAAATAAAAAGCCGCCTGCAGATGAATCAAGCTTTTTAATTCATCTATGTCTATAAATAAACAGAGGCAGAGGGGAAGAGTTACTATCTGTTTTAGAAACAACCACACATGTAGCATTCCAAGGCTGCTCATAAAAGATCTTGTGTGTGTGCAGTGTATGGAGGCACCTTGGAACATTGCTAATGGGATTTTGCATACAACAGGCTTAAAAGAATCCTCCAAGGTATCATCTCATGGCAAGTAGTTATTTTCATGTACAGTTCATGGGACATTCAATAGGTTTGATGATGAAAAGTTCTTCCCACTCTAACAAAAAAATTGCACTGCTCTTCCCCAAATTCATTCAGTAGAGACCAGGATTCCTCAGTAAAACCACAGATCAAGTTCATACTTGCTAAAAATAGAACATGACAGTAGTTGGCATCATACTATCGTACACTTCTTGTGACAAGTGTTGGGTTTTTCTTATATTTAACTCTGTCATCTTTCATAATAGCCTCCTCCTAAAAGAAAAAAGATGATACACAAACACACACGGAGAAGGCATGATTACCTTACACAATAGTCATTGCTCAGCTCTCCGTTAACTTCCTACTGCCTGATACTACAGTTTAAATGTATTTGGCTTTATTTAAATAAGAAAACAAAGGTTTTTAGCTTTGTGCATCTCTGCAACCTGAACTTATGGTAACAGTTTAGCTTTATATCAAATCCAAACTTGAGTTAACAGTTTCAGAGGTCTTTATGCACACCACATTTCTCTCTTCAAAAAGCAGAGAGAAAAGACAAAAGCTCTTGAGTGGGAGGAAGCAACAGAGAAAGGGAGGAATGTATCAGCTTGCCAAAAATGTGCCACAGCCTCTACAATATAATGTTAATAATTCTGCCTAATGCAAATGCAATAAAGCTCAGCATTTCATATCCAGAGTCAATCCTTTTCCTATTACTGGACAAAAAATACTTTACAGACTTTTTTTTTATGTTTTAAGAATGACTCATTTTGCTACTCCTTTAAATTGAAGGCTGCCATCTGAGGTTTCCAACGACATTTTTTCAGAAACTGCTTTCACATGTATGGAACAGAATACTATTTTAAAGACTCTGGATTGCTTTTTCTGGCTTTATTTCCGAAAATTTTAACATAGTTTTGCACCAAAAAAAGCAGTGAAGTACAGTAGCTTTTTCAAATTCTTCAGAAAAATGAGCATAATACAATACTAAACTCCATCTTCCTGAGAGCTACTTTGAAAGAAGTTCATCTAAACAACTTAGTGCACAGAATATGCTTCAAATCAGTCTATTCTATTTGGAGTACATATAAACTAGTTCTTACCTCATAAAGAGGAAAGGACAAGTTTTGACTTGTGTAACTCAGCCATAACCACACTGCAGAAATACTTGATTTCATATCCTGCTTTTTACACTGTAAGAACTTTTACGTTCAGAAAACAGAATACTTTTAGAAGGAACACTCCACACATTCTAAGGTTTGTTTCACATCTTGGAAGCTCTTGCAATGTCCATACTAGCTGTTCAGCAAATAATGGAAGGGCTGCTAAACTCATTTGTAACCTACGGTTTCTTACATTATTAATTTAAGAATTAATCAGATCATAGAATAATAAAGTAATGAAATCTTTCTTTTCTCTCTACTAAGATGTCTCCAGATCTCCATAATACAATTATTTGGCAAATTAAGAATGAAGTGCAATCTCACTACTTCTGTCATAATTTCTGAGCTTTGGTCTCATAATCATAAACTAACCTCTAGTATCACGGTTTCAAGGGAGTTAAATAAAGGTATATAAACCCCATCAAAATTAGCTGCATAATCTTAATTTCAATTGGGTTAAATGTTGACCTACCTATGTGATCAATTAATTGGATTAACAGGTAAATAGAAGTAAAGGTACCTTTACCACAAGGTAAAGAAGGTGCTTCTCTTTTCTATTTGTGTCCAGCAGAGATTACTGTTACACTTAATATTTCTTGTATTGTACTTATGTCTGCAAAGAAGAATATTCAACAGCATCGTCTGCCAGTATGAGAAACTGACAAATTCAGAGCTAGCAAAAAAGGACTAGTTATGGTGAGAAATTCCTTTCAACAGTAAATTCCTTTCAATATGGATTATGACAAGTCAGACATAAGATCATGTCTACACAAAAAGAATATAGGCTAAACTAGAGACTACCATGGATTCTAGTTATGCCAGGAAGAAAGTGAGGATGAGGTGAGTATTTGATGCTGCAAGAGACAGAATAAATGAGCTCGGAACACAGGCAGGGAAAGCCCATTGCCAGACCTTCATCTTTATCCCCAACTGGTACCTGCAGTTCAGGTGCCCACATTTTAAGAGAAGCTCATCCCATTCCCACACGTACATGAAAACTGAGTTCTTATATTTTGCTTAACAGATTTGTGAAATAGAAAATAAAGCAACAACTAGGTCATAATCTAAATGACAAAGACTTCAAACTTCTTTTCATCTTTTGGTTTCTTCCTGCTAGATCAAGTACCTGGCATTTGATATTAGATGAACATTTGTAGCTTATTCTTAGACACTGGAATAATTTGCCACGGTATATTAGAAGAATCCAACATTTGAAGTTTAAAAAAAATGTAAAGTGTGATTTACAGCATAAGGTATAGTTCAAATAAAACATGGACTTTCTACTTTAGGTGAAATTGTATTACATCTGATTTCTAACTATAAAATAATCTGACCTAGTAGAAGATTTACCATTAGCCTACACTATAGTTCAAAATGGTGCACCAAAGGAAAAAAAGCAAGCAAAATAAGAAAAGGGAGACTCAATGTAAGTCTTACCTAAACACCAGGAAGTTAAAGATGGAGAGAGTGGATATGTATGTGCACGCCACAGACAAGACTGGCTGCATTTTACAGCTGACACCTTTCTCTGTCGTGAAAAAAGGGAGCTGCTGGGGTGGTGAGCACATGGGGAGACTCAGGCCCAGAGAGAGAGACCAGTCCCTAATGTCTCTAAACTCCATGAGCTCACCATAGCATGCTTTTATATAAGCTAACACACACCATCTAAAGAGAAGAATACTTTTAAACAAGTGCTTAGAGAAAATAAAAGAGATAAAAATTTCAGGACTACTATGGGCCAAGTTCATTAATGACATCTACCCAAACATACTTGGACTGCCTGTGTACTTAATAAGGTATCAGAGTCCTTACATCACACAAAGAGGGAACTCTGTACTTTACTATCTGGAAAAGGAATTTCATAAAGGCCAACACTTGGGGTGTGCTTGGGACAAGCAAAGGCCAAACACATAGCTAGCTTAATAACTGTACTTTAAGCTGAATAACTAACTATAAAGGGGTTCAGTTACACAGTATTTTAACAGACTAATATTCCAGATCCTACACTAATTTAAACAGAACTCTGCCTATCCACTATCTAAAAGTGGACAAGTCTAAACTTGGGACCCAATTTTGTACAGCCTCACTGTTTGCAGACTGAATCAATACACAGAGACAAACTCTCATTACCCAAGATAAAGGCAAGCTGAGCTAGAGTGTACATACTGTCCCCTGCAACAAAGCCTGGGACCCACCCAAGCAGAGTCATCCCTAGTCCACAGCTCAAAGCCAAGGATCTAGAGAGCTGCCTCACACCCTGCCTGTTCCTCCTAGCCAGCCCAGGTGCAGCACCAGCCCCACACCAACTCCCCAGCACTGGAACCACTTTGGGAAGTGCTTCGAAGTGTGCCAGCCACTAATGGCTCAGCCTAGCAGGACCGAGCTAACAGTAACCTGTAGCTGATCTTTTCAGAAAGTACAACCTGCAAGTTCATCCTTTAACTCCATGTGCACCAACAACATCCTTGATAGGGCATAAACTTGAAAAAAAAAAAAAAAAAAAAGGTTTTTTACAATTTTTCAGTGTTGATGAAACCTCTTCCACTTGGAATTTCAGTCAAGTATAATCAAGGTACTGTAACACAACCCATTGAGAAAAGGTAAACTGCAATCTTGCCAATGGAATAATTGTTTCAGTACAGCTACATAAACTTTTGGGAGTCAAATGGTAAATGCTAAATAAAGTCTGTCTTTGCTTTCCTAGTTTGTGACTTTATTAACACCAACAGCTTTCCCTAATACCATTATTTTTCTTCTAGGGAGACTTCAGGGACTAAATTTAAAACACATTGCACTGATTACTAAACTGCATTTCACAATTTCCTTTGGATTTTGGCAACATTTTTCCCCCGTTATTAAAGCAAATCTTTCAAACACTCGATCTATTATACTGAAAGTTTCAAAGAAATTGATGTCTGTCTTCAAACAACTAAAGAAGAAAGCCGACAAGATTGCTCTAATGCAGATGTAAGAGAACACTTGTATGTAACTGGAACTTGGCACTTTTAATTGTTAACAATTACTAGACTTT